GTTTTCCAGCTGGTCGACGTACACGTGGTGGAATGTGGTCTTCCACCTTTGTTATCTGCTGCCAAATTCACCGGAACGATATTTGGAACATAGTCTTGATACAGTCCATTTTTTCACGCGATAATTATCACAAATACTTTTTTGTGACATTTTACTTACGTAATCGCCAATAATTTTCTTTCTTAGTTCCAATCCAAGACTGTCGGGAGCCATTTTTACACTTGAAGTCATAAAAATAATAAAAATAAATAATCATGCTTTTCAAGGCTTACCATGTTACATTTACCTTGTGATGATACAATAATGCTCTGTGGAACACAACGTCTTGGTTGGATGTGGACTGTATTGATGTAATGAAACACTTGTTGTATTTGACTTCTTGTATTGATGTTCTTCGATAAAACACTTTGATAAAACTCACTTCAATAAACTGTCTTGATAATACTGACTGATTGACTTCCATATACTGACTGAATTACATGTCAGTTTACATGTCTCTTGTATAGTAAAATGAACCTGTGTGAACCTGTTCTGGAAGATTCTAGATGCTTCTTTTCGATGCTTCAGGAAGCTTCTGGATGCAACTGGATGCTTCTGGATGCTTCCAGATGCTTCTTCTGGAAACTTCTGGAAGCTTCTGCATGCTTCTGGAAACTTCTGGATACTTCCTTTAATTATTAAAAAACTTCCGTAATGTTGACACAGACCATACTTAAGAAAATGAAACAAACCAAAAAAGTTGCACTTGTTTTGTCCGCTGCAAAATGGCACTTGTCAACGAATTTCTGCCTGTGTGCTGTCACCTGTCAGCTGATTGCTCATGTCATGGCATGCTATGACTCCAGACTCCTGAACTGTTTGCTGTGGTAGTATAGTTCATTTTGTTTTTAAGACATTTAAAATTAGGAACACTTGTTAGCATTGTTCGATGTTGGTTGCAAATGTTTTGTCCAATACTATATATATGTATATATATATATATATATATATTTAATTTTGAAATATATATATATATATATATATATATATATATATATATATATATATATATATATATATATATATATATATATATATATATATATATATATATATATATATATATATATATAATTATATAAATATAATTAATTTAAGATAAGAAAAAGTTATTTATAACAGCTTAATATTCTGCTAATCCTAATATTCTGTTAGTTGAATTATCAGTGATATTGTTTTTTTCACACACAACAAACTGATTCTTTAAACTGAATCTTCAGTTAAACAAAACTAAATGTTAGTGCCATATCCAGTAATTTATATATCTATGTATAGAACACATTTAGGGGTTGAGTGCAGGCATTTTCAAAAAATGTTGCTTTAAGAACCACACTAGCATTTGCCTTACTCTGTATAAACGATTTGTATCTGCCTTATTCTTTCAATGTTTGTTGTATGTGAACTCTGTATATGCAACCTACTTTTTCAACCCTTGTTGGATGTAAACTTTGTAAATACACCCTGCCTTTCTGATACTTCACTTACAATTTACACTACTTACACAAATCTAAGCAGAACAGATATCCTGTTAAATCAAACTGTCTTGAAATCCATTGAGAAATGGATTATAAGACTATTGTATCTGTTACTTTACCCTTATTTAACTAATTAAATACTTAAAATATTTTGATAAGATAAGTTATAGATTACTTCTAATAACTCTAGAAGTAATCTACTCTAGTAAGTTTGAATCCTCAGACCATTATTTTATGTGCTTTCATGTACCACCTTTTGACACTATCGGCTTTTTCTTTGTTATTTATCATTCTCCCACTTCTCTTTTCAGAATGAAATATAAATAACAAAGAGAAAGAGTCTTTTAAATGTAATTTTTCTGATCAGAAATTACATTTAAAAGACTGCACTCTTTTAAATGTAATTTCTGATCAAATTAACCATGTCCTTTCTATTTAACCCTCTGCCAATATTTTTGTTATTGGAGACTTTAATATTGTCTTGACAAAAGTCTTCTCTTTTTGGTTGCGTAGAACAGGCAGCTGATCTTGAATCTGATCTCACTTCTGTAACAGATTTGGACTTGCAGTGGCTTGTGAATTTTAACTCCAAAAAAACTCACTTATTTACTGCAAAGCTTTTTCTTATTTAGACAAGTATTTAGACAATTTCTATCAATCTGGATCATTTCTAGTGCCATCAACCTAAACCTATTCTTGCTTGACCCAACCTAAACCTTTTCTTGCTTGACCCAACCTAAACTTATTCTTGCTGAGACTTTTGCTGTATTTGTAAAACTTATATTTGTCTAGTTTTTTTCCTGGAACTTCAATCTTTTGGAAATCTCTCCCATCTTTATGTTTTCCTAACTCATACAACCTAAAATTTCTCAAGTCTTTTGTCAACTGTTTTCTTGCTCTTTATCTTTATTTTTTAGTAATTCCCAAGTTAATAGTGGTTGGTTAATATATACAGCCCTCGTAATTAGGGTTGGTAATTAGATACCATTTTTCTTTTTCTTAATGTAGCAGAAAATTCCTCTGATAGCAGTATTAACAGAAGGGTATAACAGGGTTAGATATTAACAGCCTTCCGATAACTAAATTTACTCCTGCCGTTAACTAAATAGAGACATTAAAGTATGAGTTTATTTTATTGCTGAAGTTAAAAACTGCTGATTTACTTTTAACCAGCCACTAGCTTATTGCAGGGTTTAATGGAGGTTTTTACGGCAGCAGAGCAAGCCGTAAAAACAGTTTTTCAACACTGTATTTCATCAATAAAGACTCATCAGAAATGAATGATCAAATCAATAAAACTTCAATTTATACCAAAAATTTAATTACAAGAAGTCAGGGCCCGACAAATCGACGAACGTGCGAACCTTTGTTAAAAAAAAGACAGAAAAACGAGCATCACGTTTCCTTACTTTTACTTAAGCAAACGTTGGCGTTCGCTTAAATTTTTTAAAAATGAACGCATATCTTCAGCAATTTTTTATTTCCAAATAATTATGTGATTGATAGTTTTTTATTTATTATAAAAAAACATAATTAATATAAAAAAATAAGTTACTAAAATTTAAAACGCAGTTTCAATGACATTAAAAGAAACCTAATACTTTCTAATACTTTCTTAAAAAAGTAATAGCGCGGTTTCTTTTAATAAAAGAAACGCTATTGAAGATCTTCAATAGCGTTTCTTTTAAGTATGCAACTTTTTACATGCGTTTACAAATGAATTGCAAGTTTAAAATGAATGCATTTGCAATTACTTTAAACGGAACCATGCTAAAACATTCTTTTTCCAAACGCGTGCTTTTTTTAAATTTTCTTATTTTCATTAAATTAATGTTTATTTGCTGTTTTTAAAGTTTTAAAAAAAATTTGCAGAAATATATAAAATTTAATAGATTTTATAGAACTATTATGTTGATTATAGTTTTCATTTTTTACTGTGCGTTTAACAACAACCAATAATATAATATTTTTTTATTAAATACTTAATATTATAAATATAATAATAGCATGTCAGGTATTTGATAGTAACTTATTAAATTATAAATTTAATAACTTATTAAATGTTTAATACTATATTATTATTTTTAAATATTTAAAAAATAAAAATGTCAAAATAACTTTTATTTTATTTTTATATAGTTTCCTTTTATTTAAATTTTATCAAGTTTATATCTTTTTTTTATAATTTAACAAACTAAATTTAGAAAAATTCACTATTTTGTATTAATAGATAACAGTTTACAGTGAAAAGTTTATTGCATATTAGTTATCATTAATTTGCGCACACTTTGCAAATGCGTGAAAAATTGTTTTAAATTAATAAAAATTGATAAAATTCAATAAGTATCTTTGATATATCTAATTATTATATATCTTATTAACTAGAATAAAACTAATTTGAAAATAAAACTCCCTTATAATTAAATAAAAAAATTATTTAAATAAAAAAAAAAATTAAAGAAGTTAAAATGAAACTAGCTTATTCTGGCCGACACACGGGTTCGAAGTGGAGGTGCACAACCATCTATTAATGAAAAAAGTCCTCTATATCTTTAATTTCTCTTAAATAAAGAAAAAAATATAAAAAAGTTTTAAAAAAAAGTGTGTATGTGTGGAGGGGTGGTGGTGGTGGATATTTGACATACCTCTTAAATTAGACGTTCGTCAATAAATAAAGAAACGAACGTCAACGTTTATTAAAAAAAAACGATTTTTTGTGCCCTGGAAGTCATAACTACTGTAAATTCTCACACATTTGTGGAATTTGCTGACACTATTATAAAAAGAATTCTTTAGAATTGATTACTTCTGCTTTTTTTTATTATTATTTTTTTTAAAGGGGTAGGATTTAATGTAATTATTATTTGAGCTCACTTATTTTTATAGTTTTTTTAGGAGAAACTTATTTTATATATAATATGTATATATATATAATAGGTATATATATATAATAGGTATATATATATCTTATACTGCTGAACTAGGTGAGGATGATGGTGTCATACTCACCTAATGTCAAATAGCCTGCTGCCGGGGGCTTCAGTACATACATCGACTGACAAATAGCCTGACTCGCCGTGGAGTGCTGCTACATCGACTGAGGGTTTGGTATGGGTTCGCAACATTTTCATTCATTATTCTTCGTTTTCTCTCATCGTTTTCTAAAAATGCTCACTTAATTTAAGCTAGCAAAAAAAGTGAGCAGTTGCGCATATAAATATGCTATAGTAGATATATATATATATATATATATATATATATATATATATATATATATATATATATATATATATATATATATATATATACATATATATATATATATATATATATATATATATATATATATATATATATATATATATATATATATATATATATATATATATATATATATATATATATATATATATATGTATATATATATATGTATTAAATATGTATATATATATATAAATATATTTATATATATTTATATAAATAAAGGTTCCAAAAGATAAAGATGAGCTTGTTGAGCGTGAATTTAATCGTTTGTTGGAATCCACATCATATCTCTCTCATGTTCTTGGCTTTAATTCATTGTTTACTAAACCATTATCTTTGGGAAATGCCATAGAGTTGGTTATAAAGTAAGATTTGTTAATCTTGATTTAATTAGAAATTAAGTTATTTGATTTTGAATGATGTGAAAAGCAAGTTTATGTTATGATTGTGATTATAACATTTGTGTTATAATCATTTATTTTCATTTATAAATCAATTATTTTAAATGTAGTCATTTATATTTTTACTGAAAAGCTTTTGTTTCAGCTTTTTTTTAATATTTTCTTGGTTTTGGGGAATAATATTTACAAATGAACCATATGTGCTTAAACACTTTCTTTTTTATAAAGAAAATTGCATTTTTTTAATTAAAATAAAATTTTTTTCATAACTAATAATACATTTACTGTACATAAAGAAGTTCTAGAAGAACTAAAGTTTTACATAAAAAAAAAAAAAATTGTTTTTATTGTGCATAAATGCCTATGTTTTTAAAGTAATCCAAAGAAACAATATTTTAACAAAAAATAATAATTTAAATAACTAATATCTAAACTAATATCTAATATTTAAACCATGAATCTTTTACCAAGACTTTGTTTGTGTAATATTTATATGTTAACCTGAATTTTAAAACTATTAAATAATATTCTTTGATAAGTAAGATCTTTATCTATACAGAATAAGTCTCAATTAATAAGTTGTAGGGATATCAAAGAAACAACTGACTTTATCAATAAATATCACTAAATAGATATAAATTCATTGAAATACTATTTTAAATCATTATAACCTTTTTTTTTTAAAGTAAATCAGTGTCACACTTTCTTGAAACACTTATAAAAGTAAATCAGTGTCACACTTTCTTGAAACACTTATAAAAGTAAATCAGTGTCACACTTTCTTGAAACACTTATAAAAGTAAATCAGTGTCACACTTTCTTGAAACACTTATAGAAGTAAATCAGTGTCACACTTTCTTGAAACACTTATAGAAGTAAATCAGTGTCACACTTTCTTGAAACACTTATAAAAGTAAATCAGTGTATCACTTTCTTGAAACACTTATAGAAGTAAATCAGTGTCACACTTTCTTGAAACACTTATAAAAGTAAATCAGTGTAACACTTCCTTGAAACACTTATAGAAGTAAATCAGTGTAACACTTTCTTGAAACAGTTATAAAAGTAAATCTGTGTAGCAATTTCTTGAAACACTTATAAAAGTAAATCAGTGTAACACTTTCTTGAAACAGTTATAGTACAGTAAACACACCTATATGTATTTGCTGTGAATGCCTCAATAAATATGTTTAATAATTTGTTATCAGACAAGGATTAACAAATTATTAAACATTTATTGAGGCATCTCCCTATCTAATAATTTGTTAATCCTTCGATTTCTTTTTCTTAACAATGCAAACCAAAAGGGATACCTTATTCAGCAATCTTATTCAAAAAGCTGATTTGAAGTTACTAATCCATTTTCATGCAATTGTCAATTTATTTTTTCAAATAAAGCATAAAATCTTAAGCTATTATTTTCACTGGCATCTTATATCACATCTTATATCTTTGGTATCTTATATCACATCTTATATCATTTTATCATCTTATTGTTTTTGAGACTAAGTAGACATGCTGAAAGACTCAACCAAGAGCAATTATTCCATTTATACCTACTAAAAAAACAGAAAACAGCTAGTTTGAATTTGGCTGTATAGACTTCCATGCATAATGAATTCCAATTAGGTGTGATAATTTTAGATTAACTATCACCTTTGTCCTGTTCTTGTTACACATTTACAGTTGCCATTCTAACTTTTTTTGTTATTATCTTTGGCAAACATTTTTTACAAATGATGCACTAACTACATCCCGAGTTGATCAACACATTCTGAAAAACATTGTTAATGTTCCAGTTAGGGTCTTTAATTTTCCATAAAAATCTAATTCCTGGGATTCCAGGACAAAAATGACTAATTTCCTGGATCCCAGAAAATCCTGGGATTAGGTAACAAGCAAGAATTTATCCAATTACGTGGGGGAAATGTGTAAATTCAACAAAAAAAAAATGCCTTTTGAATACTGTTACTTTTAACAAGAAAATAAATAGTTTTTCAAAAAACATAAATCGTCAATAGCGTTATCACTAAACGATGACCAAATTTACATAACAAATAGACCTGCTACTGAAAAAGCTCTTTCTAAATTGATTGATGTCGGTGGGATAGTTAATAGAGTATTGTATAATTTTTCTAAATTATTTGTACGCTTTTTCGTTGCATCAAAAATATCGATTTCTTTTGTAATATTTTTAATGTCATATAATACATCTTCTGGACCCTCAATTTTTTAGCCGTAGTTTGAAGGACTGAATTGGAAGGCAATAATAATTTCAATTCCCAAATTAATTGGTTTTAACGCCGTTACTACAGTCTGCACCACTAAATATTCATCCTCCGAAATTTGTTAATATTATTGTGTTTAAAAATCTATCAATGCTTTTAATATACTTTTTTTTTAATGCAATAAATCGCTCCAACATTGCAAGAAGACTATTCCACCTTGTCTTCACATCCAGTATTAACTTGAGTTCTATATTGTATGTAATTTTTATGTATTTTTGTAAAATTTCATTTGATTGGTAATTTAGGAAACATTCGTACAATTCTCCAGACCTTTTGAATTGTTTGTGCAATACTTATGTGGCCTAATAATTCGTCAGTGATCTCAACGTCTTGTAAATTTAATAAATTGTTGTTTTGGCTTGGCTGTAAATCCATTGTAAAATCAATTTCTTCAGACTCGTCGTCCTAATGAATGCACATTTAAATTCAAATAGAGATGTTTTTTAAAGATGTGCATTCATCCATCGAAATAGAGAATCTTGAGCCACCTTGAATTTGCATAGTCATTTCCTTAACCACTACTTTTTTTGCCAGATGGTATTGACTTTTTACCAAATTCATTACATGTGAAGAGTTTTTTGGCAATATCATCCTTGATCAAGCAATTTTTGCCTTTTGGCAATACCATTCCTTTATCAGATAAAGATTTTCTTATAAATTCAGATTTCGCAATAGCATTAATAGAAAAACCATCTACAGCCGCCAATTTTGAAACAATTTCTTCTATAGATTCCTTTTTTATAAATGGCTTAATTTTAGGTTGAGCATTTTTAACTTGTGTCTTTGTTTGGCCTTTTTTTTGTCATTTCAATTTTAACTTCCTTTTAAAGATTTTTTAAATGACGAAGAAGACTACTACTGTTGAAAATCCTTTGCACATTATTGTTGTGTTACATATATTACAAGTGGCAGATTCTATGTTTTTTTCTTTTGTAAAATTTTGCAATGCCTTAGATCCACTTGACATGATGCGCTATATTTGTTATCCTATTAATTAAATTGATTAAAATATAAATATAAATTGTTCATTTTATTGTATCATTTGTAATTTCTTGCAATTGTGATTATTTATTAGATTAGTCACCAATTTTTTGCAGTTTTGGTTTGTTTCTAAGATAGATAAAATATCATTATTGAATTTGATTTATAAATTGATTTGGTTTGTTTATTTAGCTCTAAGTTACAACATTAAAGTAAATCAAATCTATTTATAAATCAAATTCAATAATAATATTTTAGACTAAACCAAAACTGCAAAATATTAAAATATATCTATATATAATTAAATATATATAATTGCCCTCTATAACATATCTTCCTAATTTTTATAGAAATTCATTACAAAAAGGAAAAGGAAGTAAATAGTACTCAAATTTTGAGTAATAATATTTTTAATATCTTCACAAATGTTTAAGATATGTTTAAAAAAATTACCAGGATTCCTGGTAATTTCCTGGATATTTCATTGAAATCCCAAGATGGTTTTTTACCATCCCGTTATCCCCGGATGGTAAAAAACCATTTTTAGTCATTACTGGTTGTTCAGAGATGGAGCTGACACAAATGTTTTCTTCCTCCTATCATTTTTAGACACATTCTTGATAGCTGAGTTCATCTGTGCTCTTGACACAAGTAACATTTTACTGATATCATTTTTCCCCTCTGGTTTATTTCAATTACTTTTGTTCTTCTACAATGACAATTGGCCTTGTTTCACCTTGGTTTAAAGGACTGTGTTTTCAGTAATACTGTTGGAGCTACAGTAATGAAACAATTTGGACAATTTTCACAGATTCAATGTCATTTATGTATAGCATCAAAAAATTATGAATCAGAAAAAGTTTTTTACGTTGCATAATTTGTACTAAAATAAAGTTTTAATGATAAATCACTTAATACTTTATGTTAACTTGATAAAATAATTGATTGCTAAAAAGTTGTATTTTTTTAATACCAGTATAATACCAGTATTACCCTTATTTGAGAAAAGTAGTTGCGGTATTAGTAAAAGGTGGTATTTTCTATGCCTTATTGAATATATAGAAATAGACAAAATGCATCAGCCACATAATACCCAAAAATCTTTATTAAAAACTAATGAACAACTTTATTAAATACTAACAAATCAAGTATTACTTACCAAAAACAAAAATATATAGTAAAAAATCAATTTTATAGTAAAACAAACAAAACAAAGAAAGACTTTACTTTAAATAGCCAAAACCATAACTACTCAGGTTGTAAAACACTAATATTTTTGAAAGAATTTAAGAAGATTGATACATGCAATATCAATTTAAAAAAAATTGTTAATAAAAATAAAATATACATTACAATACCACTGGTAGAAAATTGATAAAGAATAACAAATGATTCAAACAAAGACTAAACTAAACAACCAATACAAATAAGCTAATAGATAAAAACATGCTCAAAACTCAAAATTTAAACAAAAAAGTTTAAGATTAATAAATCTAAGAGATTAAATAGAAAAGTGCACTTGAGCAGAAAGTCAAACAAAATGTTAAAAAGTTTTTGGTAAACCAGATAAAAGATAGAAGCTAAATTTGATTTATGATAAGCAATCAAAATGTAACTAAACAAACAGATCTAAAACCTGAAGTTATCTTAAAAACTAAATAACATGCCAAGATGGAAAAAACTTTTGGGATCAAATAAATATTAGTATCAAAAATGTATATCAATATATAAATGTTTTTTTAAAAAAAGTCCATAGCAAACACTTCTAATCTCTAGTAAAAGGCAAAAGATAACAGAATTTAGAATAAAATATAGCAACAACAAAGAACCAGAGTTTAGAATAAAACTTAGCAAAAACAAAGAAATTTATTTTTGCTAAGTTTTATTCTAAACTCTGCTGCAATTAATCTATAAAATTAAAAATTAATTTTATAGATTAATTGCAGCAGAAAATTTGTATTTTTTTTTTCGTCACATTCCTCAACATAACTGCATTGTTGTAGAAATAGACTACCTCTCTATTTCTGATTTTTTTCATGACAAACAGTTTGTAGGCTGTAAATGGCTCAAATTATTTTCTGAAACTCTATTCTGTAAATTTATTTTTACTTAGAGAATTTTTAGCTAATGTTATTAGAATATATATATATATTTTTGACACACTCAATTTTTCAAGATTAATGGAAAAACAAGTTAAAGAAAAACAAGTGGAGCATGCTAAAAAGCTGTTGGAAACACAAAACAATTTAAAAGAAGTGAATAGCGAGGTAATGAATTATTTTTTCAAAAATATTTAAATTTTTTTGTGAGACCAGATATAATTAGCAGGCTTGGTCAGGAAGTGGGAGCGATTGCTCTCGATTGCTGACCACGGAAATAATATTTAGTTGTGAAAAGTTGGCCAGATTTTTTAGTTGTTTTGAGAACATTTCAAAAAGCTAAAAAAATGCGCTAAAGATTAATTGGACCGATGAGAGCCAATTACAAAGAAAAAAAAACTAAGAAAATAAAATATCTTTTAACGCGAAAAAATAGTAAAATAAATTACGTTAAGAACAAATATTTTCAAAACATTGCTTTTTTATAAAATTAACGATGCCTAATTTTTTTATAAAATTAAGCGATGTTATATAAAGTAACTTCTTACGATTGTTTAAAAAGGAAACAAATGTTCTTTATTTAACAAAGTTTGCAAGTTTTAGTTTTATCTAAGCTAAATTATTTTATAAATAAAAAAGTTAATTTTTTTAATACCTATTTTATGTTTCGCATAGTTTGAAAAGTTTAACATATTTAAAACAATTCTTCTTAGTAAGATAAACAAATGAAATAATTAAATCATTGAATTACTATAGAAATTAAATTAACTAGATAGAAATCAACTAAAAAGGTTAAAAATACTTTTTGACGAGGAAGCAAAACTGCTTTACAATATCGCTGATGTTTAGTGAGTGGGCTTTTTGATTTTAATTAGTATTTAAAGCAGAAAAAAGTATAATGAGTTTTTAAGAATGGCAACTTAAGCAAAAATAATTAGAGTTAGTAAACCAATATCTAGAAACTTTTCTTTACATCTAATAACTTGCTATATATATTTGTGTTCTGTCATGACCTCAGGCACGGTGCTTGTTCATCCACGAGTTACTTTGCATGCATTGTTTGTGTTTAAAAGATTAAGTTGCTTTAAAAGATTACATTACGATAAAAAACAGATATACAAAATTACATTTACATAAAAAATACATACCTTTTAAATAAAAATTAATAATATATTAATAAAATCTATAATTTATAATAAACTTTCAAAATTTTGACAATTTAAATAATATATATTTACGACATTTATTTTTGTAAACAAATAATAATAGTTTATAAGATTTATGGCTTTGCAGAATTGCTAGACTCCAAGATTGGATAGACTCCAAGAATTGTATTGCAGATAGACTCCAAGAATTGCCATAGTATTGCAGATAGACTCCAAGAATTGCCATAGTATTGCAGATAGACTCCAAGAATTGCCATAGTATTGCAGATAGACTCCAAGAATTGCCATAGTATTGCAGATAGACTCCAAGAATTGCCATAGTATTGATAATATATTCTTAAAACAATTTATGCTAGAAATCTCAAAACGTAACAAATTGTAAATAATAAAATTTCTAAAACATTTCAACAGAATACTTATCCTGTTGAAATACTATCGCTTAGTCTGCCTATTTTTTGAACCAATAGAATTAGTTTGTTTGTTAATTTGGCGGATTTTTAGTGTTCGCGAATATTCTTTTTATTCTTCCGCACCAAGATGTTTTGAGAACATTCAAATTTTTTATGTTTCCATGTATGTCCGTCAATCAAAATTTTTTTGTTTCGTACATAAACTTAAATGTTCTCAAAGCGAATAAAAAACCTGGCCAGTTTTTTGCAACTATTCAGTCGCAAGTATTCGAGAGCGATTGCTCCCACTTCCCTACCAAACCTGAATTAGGTAAAGGCAGAATTTTTGAATTGAAATGAATGTTAAACCTCATCAAGTAACCTAATAAGAATGACTTGATAATTCAGACCAAAATCTTTAACATAACATGATAATTTTGTAACATGACCAATGACCAGAAGTAATTAACCCTGACCAAAGTTTAAAGAGCCACTTAAGTTCTTTAATTTTACAACATTAAAAAAAAAGTCAAATTAACTACTTCTAAACACTTTATATAATTATATTTTTAACTTGAGGTAAAAAACTAGTCAAAAACTGTTAAATGATGAAGTAAAAAAAAAGTTATTAGGATATTGGCAACCTAAACCTTGAATTGTAGTTGAAAAGTTTCTTCTGTGAAATGTCTTTTTAAATCGAACTCTAATAAACCTAACCAGAAAAAGTTTAAAATCTTATGAAAATATATTTTTTTTAAATTGATAGATTGCTTGCCCAAACTAAAACCCTCAGTTGATGTAGCAGCACTCCTCATATGTTTACCTATTTTTCAGTCAATGTACCAGCATTATTTGCTTGTTTACCTATTTGTCAGTTGATGTAACAGCACACCTCGCATGTTTGACCTATTTTTCAGTCGATATAGCAAAACTCCTCAGTTGTTCTACCTATTTTTCTGTCAATGTAGGAGTACTCCTCGCATGTTCTTAGTTTCCTCAATTAAAATGAATGGTTTTTAAATAAAGTGTAATTTTTTTATTTTATTTGATAAATTGCCTGTCTAAACCAATAATTTACATTTTTGTTGTTTTTTAAAAAACAATAAAATTACTGCTGATTAATAATAATCAATAAAAAATGTAAGTAGTATAAATTGAAGTGACAAAAATGTTATTTGAAATACAGTTAGTTAAAAATTCAAAATTGCAACAACGAAAAAAAATATGGGTTTAAAGAGCATATCAATTTTAAAAAAGTGGCAAGTTGTTGGTATGCACAAAGTGGTCTCAACAAATGAGAAAATGGACATCAACTTGAGATCAGTAAATGCAGCATTGGAACAACACTCAAAAACTACATTATGAGTTTGGCATAGTTGCAGACAAAAAGTGCTATAGTCCTAAAAAAATGTCAAAATGGACATGAGTTAAGTTATGCTTGCTAGACACAACCCAAACATGAGCATAGCTGAAATTGCCTTAGATCAGAATACAGCGATGTATGCACATCAAGTTAGCCGATCAAAAATTAGCTAGCTGATGAAGGAAAAAACAAATTAATTTGTACCTTGAAAAAAAGAAGCCATTACTAAGCATCAAAGACCGTCTAATTGAAGAAACTGGTGAAAGTTAATCTTTGAACTTATTAATTGCAAGAAAATGATTTTAGTGAGGAGAAACAAAAAATATAAAATACAATCCTTGTTTTATCATGTCAAGACTTCAAGGAGGAGGAGACTCTATTGACATTTAAGGCTGATTCACTAGAACACTGGCCTTGTGCATCTTTACACTGATTGACTCAATCAACATTAGTATAGAGAGATATTAGAAGGTTATTTACAGCCTTCAATGGGCATTTTTGAAACTGACTCCAGTTTGGATGGAATGGAAATTGCAAAAAAAGTAAGCCCACTAACTTGGTACAGTTCAAGACTCAAATGCAAGCATTGTGGAATACTATGCCACAAGATCTATTCAAAAAACTTATAGATTCCATGCCACGTAGAGTCTTAAAAACAAAGGTGCCCATATAAAATATTATATTTTCTATAAATCTTCAAGATTGTAGGTGATTGTAAAAGATTGCTAATATTTTTGCACACTTTTTTTTATCTTTTTTATTTTGTCTCACTTATTGTATTTTAATAAAATTAAAGATAATTATAAAGAATTATTATTTTATATTTAACACTTTGTAATTCTGTTTTCTTTTATCATTAAATTGAAAAAACGATCAATCAGTCTTTTATTGTTTTCAAATAACATGTTATTGTTAGTTAGATAAGAAGTTGACTTAGATAAAATTATGGATGGCCTTTCTGGAAGCATTATATATATACTTGGGTCATTAGGAAAGTTCGTAGAACTCTGCTATAAAAAATAAAATAAAAGAGTTTTTTTTAATTTTTTTTAATTAAATGTTCAAAATAATGCCCATTATTATCTATACAAAGTTGCATCCTTTCAAGCCATTTGTGAAATGTTTTTTTATACTCTTCTTTGGGTATACTTTCATAACTTCGTTATGCTGGTTTTTTGGCTTTTGACGGCAGTGTCGTCATCAAGATTTTTTTTTATCAAGTCGAATAGCCAATAATTGGATGGAGCTAAGTCTGGTGAGTATGGTGGGTGGCAAATTATTGTAATTTCAGCTTGGTTTAGACAATTTGTGACGGTTTGAGTTACATGGGGTTGAACATTATCATGGAGAAATTTGAAATTGTGAGTGCCTGTTTTAGGTCTTTCCTTATTTATTTCATGTATAAGAGGTTTCAAACAATTTTTTTATATAATATTCGCTAGTAATGGTTCAATATACCCCAAATGAACAACACCTGTTGTTTTGAAGAAGAGTAATGGGTCGTTTCTGAAAAAGGCTAAATTTTCCTTACATGCCTCAACTCTATTCTTTTAATTTTGATCAGTTAACTTGTGGGGTATCCAACATGATTTTAGTTTACTTTTTTTAAGTGTGTTGTTAATGATTTCTTTGATTGTAAAACGATTAATCGATGTCAGGGCTTCAATTATATCATGTGTTGCATGCAGATTTTCTTCAATAATGGCTCACACACATTCAATATTCTCAGCTTCATATGTGGTTTGAGGGTGCCCTGAGCGAGGATCATCTTCAAGACTCTCTCTACGATCTTTAAATAAAGTAGCCCACTTGGCAACTGTACTAGATTTTGGAGCTTGGTCACCATGAGCTAAAACCAATTCATTGGTTATGGCTTGTGCTGAAACTTTAAGTAGAGCACAGGTTTTAATATATGCTCAATATTCAAGTTTTTCCATTTTTAAATTTTTTCTTTCAAACATATAATAAAATTTAAATAAATTTTTTAATAAACATTCAAAATATTTTAACAAGTACTTAAAATGTTCATAGTTAAACACAGTTTAAGATGATATATAAATATTCCTGTCTTATTGTAACTTTATAGATGAAGCTCTACAAACTTCTCTAACAACCTAAGTATGTATATTCATTTTTATGTATAAATATCTAACGCAGATGTAGCTTTTTAAGATGGCTAACTTAAAAAGCTACATCTGATTGTTTAAGATGGCTAACTTCCAGGTATAAAGCAAACTCCAAATATTTATGTTTATGTCATATGTCAAAAAATTAGGTTGGCGCTATCCTAATAATTTATATCATCAAGATCACTTATAGTTATTATAATTATGCTCTTATAATTACATCAATAACTACTTAATTTTTTTTTAATCAACATGTTTTTTATTTTAAAACTTTGTATATAATTTTTTTTTTACTGAATTCTCATCGCCTGTAGTGGTGTCTCCACAAGGCTAAAGGGACCACTGCAGTCGATGAGACTTACTTATTTAAAAAAAAAAGAAGTGCTGTGCAACCAGGGGGATGATGGAACTCAGAATTTCTCATTTACAAGGAATATTTCCTATCATTAGCATAATGCTACACAAAAAAAATGTTTTTAAAGCAATTGAGAATCACAGTTAAATTGTAATAACAAACAATTATTAGATGATTTAGCACAATATAGATAATAACAGCTTATATATAACTCTCTTTTATATGATGAAATAAATCAAAAATGATCCAATCCAATTCAACAGCACTTAATGTTTTTATCTATTTGTTTTTTAATAGTTTGTATTTTTGAGTGTAAAGAAAGTTTTTTTGCAGGCATGTGCAATTTTCAAAAAAATTTGATTTTCGACCTGCCACATACATGTATTTTTTTTTCTTTTTTTTCTTCTCTGAAAAAGAAAAAGTTTTTTTACATAACATAAGAAGAAAAAAAAGACAAAAAGTCTCAAGTAGTTTCTTTGCTTGTAGTAGCTCTCTTGACTTTAGGAAGATTAATGTATTTTTCATCTTTTTGTTATTATTGATACTATTATTTATTTTATAATATTTAGTATATGTTTAATTATATTTAATTAATAATTTCAGTTAATAAAGCTTACAGAAAATATAGAGTCTTTGCATAAAGAATGGACAGATTTGATACAAGCTAAAAAACCTCCAAGGTTACCTTCTTTTACAAATTAGTTTATTGATTTCAAAAAAAAGAAAAAAGGATTTATATATATTTTTTAAACTTATATCTTCATTTTTTCAATAGAGATGTCACTGATGAATTTATTGTAAGAAGCAAGCAAAGAGATTTACTAGCTTTACATAGGGTAAAGTATATTATATACTTATACTATATATATATATATAGCTTTTTATACTACTATACTTACTATACTTACTATATATATATATATATATATATATATATATATATATAGCTTTTTCCAGGTTTCCAACTTTTCCAAAGTTTCCAATAGCAATTGCAACAATTTTATTAAAAACTCTATATATGTTTCTTTTGTGTTTTGATGCCACTCCTTGGATGCGACAATTGAAGTAAAGGATGGCTTTTAATGACTTTTGTGTATTCTGTTTCATTATCTTATCTGCAATGCATAGTTAACTAAGATAACTAACTTTAATAAAGATGTTTGATTGTCTGGATTACACAGTCTTTGTGGAATTTTTTTTGGCTTTTTCATATATATATAAATATATATATATATATATATATATATATATATATATATATATATATATATATATATATATATATATATATATATATATATATATATATATATATATATATATAAACTCTAGTATATTTCTAGTTATGATTTTAACAGATGTCAATTAAAAGTGTCATGTTTTTAGTTGCGGAGATGTTTTTTATAGGATTTTAATTTTTTTTCATTTTTAAGGATAAATCATAGACACTTATTGATAACATTTTTATAAACTTAAATCACCTGACCAAATTTAACAAAAATATTTTTATTTAAGATTTTTCCAACATCAACTGGGATCTCTATATTAAATAGGATGATGATGTAAATCAATCTATTGGTTTTTCTTTTAAAGACATTTAAAAACATATTAGACTACCATGCTTCATACAAAAAGCTAAGCAGCAAATTAAACTTAAATCAAAACCATGGATCACCAATGGCATATTCAGATCTATTTCCATTTAAAACAAACTATATAACAAATGTACAAAATGTAGAGATGTTAGTACTAAAATGTACTGTTTTCTAAATTTAAATTTTATAGAATCAGCAATCTATTAAAAATTAGTAAAAAATCCTATTACACAACCTATTTTAGTAAAAACCTACACAATATTAAGAATACTTGGAAAGGGATAAAAGAAGTCATTAATATAAAACCTTCCTACTATAGTTGAACTCTCAAACTTAAGTTGAAAGAAAATATCATCACAGATCAAACTATTGTATCAAATATATTAAACAACTTTTTTGTTACTATCCAAAACAAACTTCAAAACAAAATCATCCTTCATCATCTCAACTTTTCAAATTCTAATTTGTTCTTTATTGATCCTGTCACAGACAATGAAATCTCTAATCTTATCAAAACCACCTTAGGACTGGAAAAAGCTTTGGTCCTAATAGCCTTCCTACATTCCTTCTTAAACTTATTACAGACATAATTAACTTAAATCAATTAAGTTTGCAACTCCTTACCGCGTTGCTGATGATAATAACTTGCTCTTTATCAACAAATCTTTAAAAATAATTAACAAATCAATCATGATCTTGCCAATCTAGTTCAGCTCTCTCTTAACTGTAGCAAAACTATTCAAATCTAATAAAACAAAAATCAATAAAAAATTAAACTTTAGATTAAGTGGCCAGAAAATCATTCCTATAAACTTAATCAAATATCTTGGAATTATAATTAATTCCAACCTATCTTTTATATCCCATCTTAAAGACTTAGCCTTAAAATTTAGCAGATCAAATGGAATGCTGGCTAAAGTTTGCCATTATGTCAATCTAGGAACACTATTAAATTTATATTATACCATTTTTGGCTCACATATACAATATGTTTGTCAAATATGGCAACAATCTCAAGAGCAAGCAAGGATATCCCATCTTCAAAACAAAGCTTTAAAAATAATACATTTTCAGAATAACAAATTCAATCCTAATGTGCTTTATCTTACTTCTAAGATCCTTAAACTATGTGACCTAAGTTCATTCTTGAATCGTCAGTTTATCTGGAATTACTAACACAAAAACGTACCTCTTATCTTCAACAATTTCTTCCCCAAAAATGCAAATAACCGATAATATTATTGATCAATTGATAACCTGAACCTAGCAGTCTTAAAACATCATTCTGTTACTTTTGGATAAAAGTCCATAAAAAATGTATAAAAACAAAGTATAAAATCTTGAAATAACCTTCCCTATGACCTAAAAGCTCTTCATTCATACTATGTTTTTAAGAGTAACTTATTCCATTCCTTCCTAATCAAATACAGTTAATAAATCCAAAGATATGTGTATCTGTGTATAAGTGTTAGTGATGAGCACATGTGAATAAATATGAGTTTATATGTATGTATGTGTACATGTATACATGGATGTATGTTTGTATATGTGTATGTATGTATATGTATGTGTTTGTTAATCATATTTTTGTGTGTATGTATATATGAATCTATATATATATATATGTATGTATATATATATATATATATATATATATATATATATATATATATATATATATATATATATATATATATATATATATGTGTGTATATTGTGTATGTATACAATACAGGGGGATTAAGTATAATATACTTATATCCCCCTGTATTGTATACATACACAATATACACAGTTGTATATACACAATATACACAGTTAAAAAGTTGAAGGAGTAAAAATACTAATAACAATAATAAAAGTGTTAGTTAACAATACAATGATTAAAAAAAAAAAGCTAAAAATAAAAATAATTACAATAATCATAACAAAAATAATAGTAATCTAGTATTAATCACATTCATACACACATATATAGACACAAATGCATACATATAAACACACATACACACTTACATTCACAAATACATGCAAACACATACTTAGTATATGTGTTTATATGTATTTGTATACATATAAACACATATACATGTAAACACATATACTTAGTATATGTGTTTATATGTATTTGCAAATTTAAGTGTGTATGTGTGTTTATATGTATGCATTTGTGTCTATATATGTGTGTATGAATGTGATTAATACTAAATTACTATTATTTTTGTTATGATTATTGTAATTATTTTTATTTTTATCATTTTATTTTTGTCATTGTATTGTTAACTAACACTTTTATTATTGTTATTGGTATTTTTACTTCTTTAACTTTTAAAGTTCGTTTTGTTACTGCTTTGAAAGATTAATATTACTATTAGCATTAATGATATAGTTACTGGCTTTTATTTGCAAGGTTTTTACTTAAGATTAGTACATGTACTATTTGTAAACTTCCGTGAATGTAACAACTATTTCAGAAATATATTAATTAATTGATTGAAAACATCTCCCTACTTTAAAATAGAAAATCGTCTTTTTACTGTCCTAGATGAGCAGGTTAATCTTACTGATTGCATAAACACTTAACATAAGTATAATCTTTTTTTAAAATTAAGTCCCTTTTGTTACAGTGTAAAATATATTTACATATATTATGTATAAAATACCTATGAAACTTCAAGTGTTTTATTTTGTATTTTGAAAAAATCAAAAAAAAATTTAAAAATAAACCAACGGTAGGATTTGAACCACGGTGCTTTGCTTCAGAGACTCAGATAGCTAGCCACTGGGCTACAAAGACATGTTGGCTAACAGATTTTAAAACTATTTAACAAACAAAAGACTTGGAGAAAATGTGCTATAGATTAAAATAAAGGAGATGTTGCAGCAATGCATTTTTTCAAGTGAAAGTAAAACTGCAAAACTTGATATATGTTTTAAAATTGCATAGTTTGAAGTTTATAAAAATTAGTTATTTGCATACACTTTTGTTCACGTTTTCTTATTAAAAAAGTGCTGCAGTTCTTTCTTGCCATTACCTTGGTTGCAATGGCTGCCAAAACTTCTGTGTCAAACATGCTCGAAAGGCCACTACTACTACTACTACTACTACTACTACTACTACTACTACTACTACTACTACTACTACTACTACTACTACTACTATTAAGTTCAGCATTATTATATAGATTATTTTATCAGTTATTATTTCTGTTTTACCTGATTTGAAGAAAGTCTTTTACAAAGTTGTTCTTGACTTTTTTGATGCAGCTATTTATCCTTATATATTGTTTCAGATTTTTGGCTTGCTATTTCTTTGCATGAATCATTCTTTTTAGAATACTCCAAAAATCTTTAATTGTACATCTTTCTTTAATGTTTAGTTATCCACTTTGCAACAAAATTTATGGAATTCTTTTTAAAAAATTGCATCACTGTTTTGACATAACGCTACAAATACCAAGTCAGGTCAAAATTTCCTTATTATTAACATAATTTTCTCGTTTTTTTTTTTTCAAATTGGAAAGTTGCAAAGTGCTTTATAACAGGTGCTTTGGACTTCAGCTAGTTCTGATCTAAAGGGACGATATTGTATCTTGTTTTCATCTCAAGATAGATCATTTCAATCCTTAAATCCTGGGATTGAAAAAGATTTCTGTCATTGCAATCCCTAGTGCTACATTTAAATTTGGGAGGTCTGTCTTTAGGAAATTTCATTATGGTGATCAAACATAATTTTGAGCCTGATGTTTTTTTTTATTTGTTTAATTGACAATACAACTTCTTCAATTTTTAAATCTTAAACTGTTTTTTAATCAGAGCTTATTTCAGCTGGATTATATCAGAGGTTTGTCTAGAAATATAATCCCAAATAATTTTAATTTCAGTTTATAAATTCAAAGTGGTGAACTTTTTTCTGTATGATTGATGTGTGAAATAAAATTTGTATTTTTCTTTTTCTGATGTTTGACGTCATTTTTTTAAAACTGAGCAGCTTTTGTACAAAGCGCAATATATGTAAAGAAAGAGTTTTTTTAAATATTTTTAAATACAAATGAAATAAAAGTATCTGTGAAATATATGCGCAATATATGTAAAGAAATTTTTTTTTGAAATTTGAAAATTTGAAACAAAATGTATAGTCTCTAAGTTCAATTAAACTTTTATGGTTACTTTTTAACTTTTTTTTAATCTTCAAACTTTTCTTGAATTTTTATTGAAGTAATTTATTTTAATTGCCAGAAATTTATTTAATTTTAATGATGGACTATTGTGGTTTAAAAAGAAAACAAGATTGTTAGTCATGTTACAATAGAGTCTATTATGGCGCCAAGGTTTGTGAGTTAGTTGGAATTTTTCTTTAACATCAACTTTTGCAATTTTACAAGAATGAATTGGGCTAATATCAAGACGATGGTTTAGCTATTTTTAAGAGTAAAAGTAGCCAGGATAAAAAGTGGACAGTGAAAGTGGACAGGAACAAAAAAAGCAACAAAAAAAAAAAAATTGAAAGTAACAATCTTGATATCTCTATTAATTACAGTATTGAAATTATTAATTACAGTATTGAAATTATTAATTACAGTATTGAAATTATTAATTTTCTTGATTTAACTGTAAATCTTTTTGAAAATTCATTCAACTTTACTGGAAACCTGATAACTAACCAAGTTACTGGAAACCTGATAACCAAGTTATGTAAACGCTGATTCCAACTATCCAAATGACAAAGTTCACATAATATTAAAAAAATATTATCAGCCATATCATCAACTTAATTTTATATAAATCCTTCCCACTTTATGATGATAAATTAAATCATGTTACACCTATAAGCCAGCATACAAAGCATAAAACCAGTGCTGAATAATTCAGTTAAAATGTTTTTAATAAAATTGGACAACATTTTATAATCCTTTTTTGTAAAAAATATTTTCTTTGTGAAAAATGACCAGCATTTTCAAAAAACCACAATCTACACAAAATATTAAACAGAAACACAATTTAGCTGTTTCTGTATGTCAAAAATCAAATTTGTAATAAATTTGCACAAAAAGCATATTTTATATGGTGATTAAAAGGCATCAGAAAAAAACCTGAAATTGTGTTTAAAATCAATATATCCATCATGTACCGAGCCACCATAAGCTCAAATAATCCTGAATACAAAGATAAAGTGTATATCAACATATGCAAAACCCATTTTATATTTAGGTATGCAAACCATTTAAAATCATTTAATATAAATAAGTATGCAAGTTAAACTGATTTATCTAAGGAAATATGGAAAAGAAAAGAAAATAACTCATCACCCTCATTCAAATGAAATATTAAATTTTGTAAGCCATACAATCCGGCATCAAAAAGTTTGTAATCTTTTTAAATTTAATTTAAATCTTTTGTCATCTAATTTAAAATATTGTTTTACAAAAGAAACATCCTACTTTTAAAAATATATATATATATATATATATATATATATATATATATTTCTCTATTCTAATTATATCTTTTATTGATATCTATGTTAAATAAAAACGCACAAAACTTATAGCTAGTCATTATTTTTAATACTTAGGAGCATGATTCATTATCTGATAAAAAAAAAGAACTCAACTTAAAAATTAAAGACTTAGAACAAAATACACCCAGGTATGATAATTTTTGGATATCTGTTTTGTGATATGTTAATTATGCTTCCATGATATTAAATGTTTTTAAAAGCGACCAATTACATACATGGTGGCCTGGAATGTCCTGGATTTCTGCAAGTATCCTGGAATGTCCTGGAAAATTTTGATTTTTTCAAAAATGTCCTTGAATGTCCTGCAATTTTTATTTTTCTAAATATATTTTAAAATTACTAATACTATTGCAATAAAATTAAATTTTTTTATGCAATTAAAAAAATTTAAAGCAGCTGTAATTTAATTTTTATGAATGGTTTTCTTTATGTTTTATATATTGCTTTAATTACTTTGAATTTTGTTTGATTTTTGTTTTCTTATATCAGTAATTGTTGGTTTGAAATCATGTATAGCAAATTATAGTATTTAGTTTTTTCTATAGTTTTGAATTTTAGAAAATTTTTAAGTTTAGAAAAAGTATAAATAGTAAAGTATAAATATAGAATGCCTCAAGATTCACATTTTTCGAATGCATGGTTGTAAACACTTGAATACAAAAACTGGATTATTAAAAAAAGTACAACAATTGCATCATGTTCTTTTGTAAAAAAGACATTAATGTTAGAAATATGGGTGAAAATGCTTTAAAAAGTCGTCTCAAAAGTAAAAACATTATGAGTTATCACCTCCAGTATTAAGTTCATTATGCAATTATTTTGCTAAATCAAAAACTTTGTCACCTTTAAAAACTGGTACTGTTCAGATTATTGAAAAGCCATCTAAGTCTAAAACATTGGATATAGTATTTATAAATGAACAAGTAATAACTGCTGAAATTAGATGGATATTACACGTGGCTTTATCAAAACCTTTTCAAAGATCATGTGAAGGTATTAACTCACTATTTATATCTATGTTTTCTGATAGTATCATTGCAAAAAAGTTTCAACTAGGTCGAACAAAGTGTGGATATGTTACAAAATTTGGCATTGCACCATATTTTCTTGATTTGTTATATAAAGAAATATTGTTATCACCGGTTTTTGTCTTTTGATGAGACATTAAATCATAGCATACAAAAAGGTCAAATGGATATTATTGTTCGATTCTGGAACCATGAATCAAATCAAGTTTTTACAAGATATCTTGACTCACAGTTTTTAGGAGGTGCAAATTCAAAGCAGTTATTAAAATCTTTTAATGAAGGTGTATCTCAACTTAACATACAAAAAATGATTCAGATATCTTCAGATGGACCTAATGTCAATTTAAAATTTTTAAGACTGGTAAAAGAAGATTGCGAACTTAATGAGTATCCAGCCTTATTAGATATTGGCACGTGTGGTCTCCACACAGTTCATGGAAGCCTAAAAACATCAGTTAATAACTCTGAATGGAAACTTGGGGAAAAATTAAAAGCGATGTGGAAGTTTCTGAATGAATGCCCTTCACACAGAGAAATCTATGAAAATGTAACTGAGAACAAAATTTACCCTTTACCTTATTGTGGCCATCGTTGGTGTGAGAATCAAAACTGTCGTGAACGAGCAACAAATATTTTTCCTGGCTATTTGAAGTTTATTGAACACTTACAAAGCTTACCAAAATCAAAGCAACCTCATGGAAAGTGGTTTAATATTTTAACAGATACAATAAAAGATCCTTTGTTTATTGCTAAATGAAAGTTTATTGAATTTATAGCTGAAAAGTTAAATCTATTCCTAAAGGGTTTTCAAAGTGATAAACCAATGGTCCCATTTATATTCGATGTTTTAAAAAACATTTTAGTTAGCATTCTAAGTATGTTTTTATTAAATAATGTAATGGAAAGATCTGCTACAATTAAAAAAATAATGAAGCTAAATTTTACAAAGATGTTTGTATATTTTTATCTTCACTTGCAACTCACATGTTAGAAAAATCTCCCAAAAAATATCTTCTTGTCAGGTGTTCGTCTTGTCTGGATCCAATTCTATTAGCAGATAGCAGAGAAGTAGAGTGTAATAAGTTAAAGTTTTCTAAATTATTGCAACAACTAGTAGCTTCTGGATATTTAAAATCAAAAATTGGGGACAAAGCAAATAAAGAATATTTTCAATTTATAATAAACATTGTTCGTAAACATTATACAGAGTTTTTGTCATTCAAAAAATATGATGATAGGTTGGATATTTTTCTTGCTCAGCATATACCTGTAAATGGATATACATCTCTTTGGGAGGTCTGCATAATTTTATTTTGCTTGTCTCATGGCCAGGCTGCTATTGAACGCGGGTTCAAAGTAAATAAGGACTATCTAGTTGAAAATTTAGGTGAAGATTCTCTAATTGCATTAAGAATAGTTCATGATCACATGTTATCAAAGCAACAAAATGCTGCAGATATTCCAATTACTAGAGAAATGATAAAATCAGTCAAATCATCTAGAATGCGATACGATGTTGCATTGGAAATGGCAAAAAAAGTTAAAGAGTTATCAACTGTAAGTTTAAAAAGAAAAGCTGTTTCCGCTGAAATTGATGACATTGTTCGAAGGAAGAAGCTACTTCAAGCATCAGCTGACGATTTAATAAAGGAGGCAGATAGTTATGCATTAAAAGCAGAGAAAAAAAAAGGTTTGAGTTTTATAATCACTTCAAATGATTTAAGAAAGTTATCAAAAGATAAATTTTTAAAATTGCAAGAGCTTGATAGTTTAGAAAAAGCTTTATGTTTAAAAAGAGATTCAATCATTGTTTGAGTTTCATTTATCTATTTTGTAAATATTTTTTTGTTTAATTTAGTTCCATTAAAGAGTATGATTGTTTAACTATTATATGTATATTTATATTAATATATTAGTTTACAATCTTCTTTCTATTTTATACTGACTTTCAAAAAAAAAAAATTTATTAAGTTATTATATGTTATTAAAAACTTAATACTATTACTTTTCGTCAATTTCAAAAATTTATTAGTCGATTTAGTTGAAATATTCTATGAATATTGTTAAATGAAAATGAAAAATTTAATGAAAATATAATTGATAATATTCATTTAATAGGTTACAAAATGTCCTGGAAAATTTTTTAAAAAGTCCTGGAATGTCCTGGAATTTTACTTTTAAAATTTTGTGGCCACTATGTACATATTTAAGTTTAATATTAATTTGGACCAATTCAACAAATAATTATCTTTAAATAATTATTCTACAAATTTTAAAATACAAATGTTCAAAGTTATAGTTCTGATCAAGTTTTTTTTTTTCGTGTGTACAAAGTTAAAATAAATGCAAGCCTTAAATATGAAACGTGCAGCATAAACAAAACATTCTTTTGAAAGTGTTGTTATTTTATTATGAAACATACATCTTAAACAAAACATTCTTTTGAAAGTGTTGTTATTTTATTATGAAATTTCTTTATAGTGATGTCTATTTATCACTACGCGACCGCCAAATTCTTGACTGGCATCTTGCTAACCTTGAGTTTGCAAATGCCACACCACTTTCTCAACTTTCTCTTAAACATTGGGACCAAGATGATGATTTCGAATTTACAGGAAGTCATGTTACGGTTAGCAATGGTTTTTCTTGTGTGCCAGCAGCACTTGCAGAAGGGCTTGATATCAGATTGAATTGCGCTGTACGAAACATTAAATACACACGACAAGGTACATCGAGTTTGCTCTTTATTTTCAAAGAAATTTTTCATTTTTGACATTCTTTATTTGTCTGATTTCACACAAACATTATTACTTCTCACTACTCAGTCTGTTATCTTAGGTGTAGAAGTTGTGGGTTCATACCTCAAAAACGGCCTACTTGCAACTCATGTATTTAAAGCTGATGCTGTCTTGTGCACACTCCCTCTTGGAGTTTTAAAACAATGTTCTCCTCCTGCTGTTTATTTTAATCCTCCCCTTCCAGACTGGAAAACTGGTGCTATTGAAAGAATGGGATTTGGCAATTTAAATAAGGTTCTGAATTTTTTTTTGTTTTATTTTTTTAATAAACGAAATCAATATTAAAGCAATATCTAGGCTAAGTAAAATAAAATAAATGTGATGAATCATTAACTAATAATTATAAAAGTAGTAATTTTATTTTTTCTGTGTTCTGATTTTTGAATAAAATTGTTTTATGTTTTAATTGAATATTTAATTAAATTAGGTTGTTTTGTTAAATTAGGTTGTTCTGTTAAATTAGGTTGTTCTGTTAAATTAGGTTGTTCTGTGTTTTGATCGTGTATTTTGGAATCCAGAAACCAATCTCTTTGGTCACGTAGCAAGTGCAACAGCTAATCGCGGTGAATTGTTTTTATTTTGGAGCATATACAAAGCACCTGTCCTACTAGCATTAGTTGCCGGAGAAGCTGCTAACAAATTAGAAACTTACTCTGACGATGTTATAGTCGGAAAATCGATAACCGTACTAAAAGAGATTTTTGGAAATAACAATGTTCCTCAGGTAAGATCACGATTACTTGTCCCGATGTTTGAAATCAAAATATCTTATTATTAAATAAACGATTACTTGTCCCGATTTGTTGAAATAAAAATATGCTACGTTTTACGCTTTAAAAATTTTAGTTTTTATTTTAATTTTTATTTTGATTTTTATTAATTTCAAAGATTTTTCAATGAGTTTCATAACTTTTTATAGCCAAAAGAAACAGTTGTTACAAGATGGAAATCCGATGAGTGGTCCCGTGGATCATACTCTTATGTAGCAGCTGGATCTTCCGGCAACGATTACGATGTTATGGCTGCACCTGTCGCCCCTCCTCCTACGCCTGGTCTTCCAAATTTTCCGGGTTCGAATGTACCTCGAGTTTTCTTTGCTGGAGAACATACAATACGAAACTATCCTGCAACTGTCCATGGCGCTTTGTTGAGTGGATTACGCGAGGCTGGGCGTATAGCAGACCAGTTTTTAGGACTACCCTACGATTTAAACAAGTTTGCGACACAAAACCAAGCTAGATAGATGTCAGAATAATAAAACGTTAACACTCATCTGTATGTAATAGTTTCGTACTGCTTTGCAGTCTTATTACTCCTTCATACTCTGGTTATTTTAACCGTTATGTTTTCTGAATTTATGTATTTTAAACAGTTGTCGAAATTATTATTTAACTATATTTAAATTTAATTTATTATGTCAAATTAAATTGTTTTGTTTTTATTACTTTTTCAAAATTTTTATTCGTAAGTAAGTATCGTTTTAATTAAAATGTATAAAAAAAAGAATGCCTTGAAATAAATTAAAATTTCAGCGTTATCCTTAGAAAACTTAAAATTTTTGTTGATATTCTATTAATAACATATTAAAATGCTTAAAAATGCTGAAATAACGTATATTAATACGTTATCACAAAATTTCATAAAACTTCTCAAAATAAATTTCAACTTGTTTACTAATCTCTGTTTTATTAAAAAAGTAGTTTAATAATTACAAAAGTGTTTCACAAGGGATACAGATGGGCTACAAATCTTGAAAATTTAAAACAGAGACAACTAGCTCCTACTAAATTTGATATTCAATAAACTATATAAAATGTTTTCCCTATTCATTGATGATATTTAATAAAAAAAGTAAAATCACTTACTTTTTAGGTGTTTATATCGGTGAAAAGCTTTGATAGAGACACCGCATCAAAAATTTAAGAACAAAAATTTAAAAAAATTTATGATTATATAAATCAATAAACTATTTAACGCGTATTTAAGTAAAAGTCAATTTTATTTCTCACTTAATGAATGTTGAGTTAATATTGAATATTATTCGAGTTAATATACAAATATTGCATGGTGGTAGCAGTGGTAGCGCACTTGCCTCAGAAACATAAGATCCGTGGTTCAAACCCCACCTCTGGGCAAGCTTTGCGACATCGGTTGGGAAGGAGGCGTAAACTTCCTATTAAATGCACTTCCGCGGTGCTCTGTGATAAGACCGTAAGGACTTCTTGGGGCACCTTAATCAACTTGAAAAAAAAAACAAAAAGAACGTATGTTTAGTTAATTCATGTGATTGGGAAAAATATTATTAATGTATATACAGGGTTGCCACCCAACTTGGAAATGCCATGAATTTGAATTTATATTTTATAGTTGAGTTATATAATTATTTTAAATAGGGTTTTCATTATGGGTTTAACTAGGAAATACTAAAATACTAAGTAAAGTTTGATTTAATAAATTATATTTATTGAATATAAGTTTATGATCTGTCATCATTTAATCTATAATTATATGTAATATGGTTGTAAGAAAAATACATTTTTTTTAGAGTTATTAATAATTAAAATGGATCAAACATTTTTTTCAAATGATTGGTTAAATTACTCAGAGTAAAAAGAAAGGCTTGTTAAGACTAACAACAATAAAGTTGTTAGATGTAGCAGTTGTTGTAAAACTTTTAATTTATTAAACATAGGAGTTCAGGCAGTTAAGAGTCATAATAAAGGTATTAAGCACCAAGTTAAAGTTTTAGCAAAATCCAAAAGGCACTTTTTCAAACCTTTTGTTAAACATACTGTTATTACACCAACGCTACCCCTAGCAGTCGGTCAAAAAACTTTAGAACTTGTTGTTACTTCGTATGAAGAAACAAGATCTTAAATTAAATAGGTTCTTGCAAATGTATGAATGGATTGTCGAACAATCCATCTGCTAATATGAGCGAATTATTTACGTATTTTTGGTAAAGTGGCAAAAGGATTAACATTAGAAAGAACAAAAAAAAAGGGATTTGTGGTTAACTATGGGTTAGCGCCATATTTTAAATCATTACATCTTGAAAGTATCAAAAATTCTCCATCTTGTCTTATTTGATGAAAGTCTGAACAAAGTTACACAAAATTCTCCATGTTATGTTGTCTTATTTGATGAAAGTCTGAACAAAGTTACACAAAATTCTCCATGTTATGTTGTCTTATTTGATGAAAGTCTGAACAAAGTTACACAAAATTCTCCATGTTATGTTGTCTTATTTGATGAAAGTCTGAACAAAGTTACACAAAATTCTCCATGTTATGTTGTTTTATTTGATGAAAGTCTGAACAAAGTTACACAAAATTGTCAAATGGATATTGTTGTTAGATTTTAGAATACTCTAGAAAATCAGGTTAATGTGCGGTGTTTGAATTCAGTTTTTCCTGGCCATTCTTCTGCAGCGCATATTATAAATAATTTCAATAAAGAAATAGAAAACCTCAATTTTTCAAAAATGATCCAAGTATCTATGGATGGGCCTTATACAAATTGGAAACTTTTTCAAGAACTTTCCATATACCGAAATGAGTGTGAACTGAATTCTTTACTTAACATTTGGATTTGTAGTTTGTATGTATTGCATGAAGTTTTTAAATTCGGTTCTGAGTCAAGATCATGGAATTTAAAAAGTATTCTTAAAGGAGCATACCAAATATTGCATAATACTCTAGATAGGAGGGATAAATAAAACAGTATTACTGGGTCAAATCGGTATCCATTAAGTTTCTGTTCAACAAGATGGATTGAAGACAAAATTGTTGCAGATCGTTTAATTAAAATATGGGACAACATTGTAAAATTAATTAGATTTTGGGAAAAATTATAAGTTTATGATCTGTCATCATTTAATCTATAATTATATGTAATATGGTTGTAAGAAAAATACATTTTTTTTAGAGTTATTAATAATTAAAATGGATCAAACATTTTTTTCAAATGATTGGTTAAATTACTCAGAGTAAAAAGAAAGGCTTGTTAAGACTAACAACAATAAAGTTGTTAGATGTAGCAGTTGTTGTAAAACTTTTAATTTATTAAACATAGGAGTTCAGGCAGTTAAGAGTCATAATAAAGGTATTAAGCACCAAGTTAAAGTTTTAGCAAAATCCAAAAGGCACTTTTTCAAACCTTTTGTTAAACATACTGTTATTACACCAACGCTACCCCTAGCAGTCGGTCAAAAAACTTTAGAACTTGTTGTTACTTCGTATGAAGAAACAAGATCTTAAATTAAATAGGTTCTTGCAAATGTATGAATGGATTGTCGAACAATCCATCTGCTAATATGAGCGAATTATTTACGTATTTTTGGTAAAGTGGCAAAAGGATTAACATTAGAAAGAACAAAAAAAAAGGGATTTGTGGTTAACTATGGGTTAGCGCCATATTTTAAATCATTACATCTTGAAAGTATCAAAAATTCTCCATGTTGTCTTATTTGATGAAAGTCTGAACAAAGTTACACAAAATTCTCCATGTTATGTTGTCTTATTTGATGAAAGTCTGAACAAAGTTACACAAAATTCTCCATGTTATGTTGTCTTATTTGATGAAAGTCTGAACAAAGTTACACAAAATTCTCCATGTTATGTTGTCTTATTTGATGAAAGTCTGAACAAAGTTACACAAAATTCTCCATGTTATGTTGTCTTATTTGATGAAAGTCTGAACAAAGTTACACAAAATTCTCCATGTTATGTTGTCTTATTTGATGAAAGTCTGAACAAAGTTACACAAAATTCTCCATGTTATGTTGTTTTATTTGATGAAAGTCTGAACAAAGTTACACAAAATTGTCAAATGGATATTGTTGTTAGATTTTAGAATACTCTAGAAAATCAGGTTAATGTGCGGTGTTTGAATTCAGTTTTTCCTGGCCATTCTTCTGCAGCGCATATTATAAATAATTTCAATAAAGAAATAGAAAACCTCAATTTTTCAAAAATGATCCAAGTATCTATGGATGGGCCTTATACAAATTGGAAACTTTTTCAAGAACTTTCCATATACCGAAATGAGTGTGAACTGAATTCTTTACTTAACATTTGGATTTGTAGTTTGTATGTATTGCATGAAGTTTTTAAATTCGGTTCTGAGTCAAGATCATGGAATTTAAAAAGTATTCTTAAAGGAGCATACCAAATATTGCATAATACTCTAGATAGGAGGGATAAATAAAACAGTATTACTGGGTCAAATCGGTATCCATTAAGTTTCTGTTCAACAAGATGGATTGAAGACAAAATTGTTGCAGATCGTTTAATTAAAATATGGGACAACATTGTAAAATTAATTAGATTTTGGGAAAAATTATTAAAGTCTAAACAGCCTTCCTCAAAAAGTTTTTTTAATGTTCAAAAAGCATCAAGTGACTTGACAGTTTCAAAATTACAATTTTTTAGTTATGTTACCATCTTGTTCATAACCTACTTGACACTATCAGACTGATCAACCAATGATTATATACATGAACAATGATTTTAGAGAATTGATAACAAATATTTTTGCTCTATTTATTAAACTTTCAGTAATTCAAAGCTGCAAAAAAGATGATAGTGACTTAAAAAAAATAGATCTCTATAAAAAAAAGAGATTTTGCTACCCAGCAAAGATATTATTATTGGTTTCGTGGCTAAAGTTTCAATTAAAGAACTCTTTGTTAAACATAATATCACTCCTAATGATATAAAACAGTTTAGAAATAAAGTGTTTTTTTCACAAAAACCAAAAAAGCTTGCTTAAACGCGTCCCGCTAGGCTCTGCAATCATAGTGAATGCAAGTTGTATTGAACCAATCGAACTCAAAACATTAACGATTGAATCTAATCAAAATAAACTAAAAAGGTTGTTACATTATCTTGTTAGTTTAAAAATTATATCTGCAACACAAAGTGAAAATGTCATGTTTCAGTATTCAATACTTTTAGGAAATGACATGAAAATAAATAGAGATATATTTCTTAGCTTTGATAAAAAAAATATCTTAAAGAGTAGATATCGTTTAGATATTTTCTATTTCCATCAACTTGATAAAGTCAAACATAAGGAAATTTCTTATACTATCAAAATGATTTTAACGGTTAGTCACGATCAGGCTTTTGTTGAAAGGGGTTAACTTCTAAAGTCTAACTCAATAGTCTCCTATCGTATTATAAAAGATCATATGAGTTCTCAAAACATTCAAGCTGAAACTATTAATATCACAAATGCATTAATGTTATCAGTTAAGTCAGCCAGACAACCGTACCAAATCAGTTTTGCAGAGCAGAAGAATTTAAAGAAAGAGTGTGAATCAAACCACCAAATAACATTCTTATTTAAAAAAATTGAAGTAGAAAAAAAAAGACTTTACTTGTAACAGCATGTTGTACATTAAACAGCATGTTGTACATTAAACAAAGATTTTATTCAATC